ATATGTGTGTGTATATATACATGTGTATGTAATGTATTGTAAATGTGTATATAATATCGTTTGAAATGCATTCGTAGCAATTTTACGAAGAAATAATTTATTTCTAGTGTTAAAATAGTTCAGGATTATTTTGTAATGACAAATAATATGAAGGAATGATACCGAATTGCCGATCTGAAACTTTGATTGAATAACAACGCAGAAGTAGGTATTTTCTGGTTCGGGTAAGTTGTCAAGTGATTCAGCCATAACACGTACTAGTTTTTGCGATATTCAAGTAACCTCCCGCCTCCTCCTGGCGCGCCGCCGTGTTTCAAAGGCTGTCGATGGGAGGTGCATCTTCGGAGTGCACTGCGGAAGTGCAGCCCCTGACAGGTGCCACCACCGGCTGAGCGAGAGTCAACAGTGCCATAGGCGCAGAGCGAGCGGCCCGGAGACGCCGGCGCAGAACTCTGCGATACTATTTTATGAAAATAACAGTACATTCTAGACAATAAATTGTTGCTACAACACAGCAGATAGGATTGGAAATAATACTTTTTTTTTTATAAAACTCATTTATGAAAGTATTCAGGTTCTGTGGGAAATGATGGATTTGTAACGTGATATGACGTGTCACTTTTAAAATTATACTCGTCACACAAATCAGACTGGATATTTTACTGTCGTTTTATGCAAATTATAAAATGCCACACTGCGCTGCTCTTACTGGAGTTGCGGATAAATTAGGTAATTACAGAGCCGTTTCATGATAAAATGAAATGTGTAGTATGAAAAGAGCAATGATGTAAGCCCTCTAAACATGTTTCAAGAGTTTTGTAAAAGTAGTTTTATAACACTGCTTCGAAATTTCACTACAACAATACTTTATATTTTGGAATAAGGTGTCCTTGATAAAATTTTTCTTGTTTGGATACGACTGGTTTGTAGTTAATTCACATTATTAACTCCATGAAGAAGGAACTCGTGTTGCAACGGCACGGATAAAATGAAGTTACTTTTTTGTCCTCTTTAATAAATTCCGACATTTGGCTCGTTCTCGTGAAAATTCGCCGTAACTCGAAAGAGACGTTACTAACGAACCTAAAAAATTACCCAAGTTGCTGTAACATTCACTGCATTTCATCACCAACAGTATTCCATTGTTTCTCTGATTAAAATCTCAAACAATATAAACTATCTCGGTCCTTGATCTATAATGCACGAAAGAGCTCAGAAATAAAAAGGTGCATTCTTTGCTTTTAGCAGCATAGATTTTTCATGGCTGAAAAATCGTTCAATTAATTTGCCTTTCATTGGAAGAAATCAATTATTTTGTTTTTTTTCTGAGAACTCAGTTATAAATGAAGTTTCATTTTATTTCTGAAAGTTGGTTACAAAGAGTTGTGAAAAACAAAACGGGAATATTTTATAGAAAAACAATTATTGTTTTGCTGCATTTCTCAAATTAAGACAGTGCGATAATAGATTTTGGGAATTAAAAAAATGCTTCATATTCTTTATAATTAACATAAAACATTTCATATTGCTTATGAATATTTTGCTTACTGTCTTACAAAATAACATTGGCAACATAATTTTATAAATTCCTAAATAATTCAATTTTTTCATCACTTCATAAATTGCCAACGATAGTAAAACATTAAAATTGGGTCCACCCAAGTCATTTCAAAGAATGTAGTTTTACATTATATCTGATCCAAAATACACATTTCAAAATATTTTGCTTTCGTATGCAATCAAAAGCTTTAATATTTGACGCTCACTCTTTAATGGCGAAATTGTTGTGCTGCTTTCATAGGTAATACATTTCATTTCAACTGCAACATTGCATCATACGGCACTGAACTACACATTTTAATATTGGATAAGGGCTACAGTAGAGAGAACTGCCGCAGTAACAATAGCTACATTCGATGTAAATTTAAAAGTACTTGTGCTTCAACAGCACGTACATTCTCACATTATTTCTATGTGTTCCGATATATTATACTAGTTCATAAACATTCAAAAGGTTTTTCAACCAGCATAAATTATTTTCCGCACCGAGACTCGAAAAATCAGGTCCTCGGTGGTACGGCGCTGACATCCATTCCATTACGCTACAGAAGTGCCATGAGATTCGAACTCGGGCCGACGCTTAAAAATATAATTGTTTCCAACTCGCAATTTTGCAATTTTCAAAAATACGGAGAGCTCGCCGAAAATAGGTTTAGCACCATATTTTTTACCGTTCGTTGCATATACGAGAGCATTTGAAGACCTCGGAGCAATAATAAGCTATGTTATTATACGTAAGTTTTAATAAAAAGGTAAGTAAAGGTTTAGACATTGCATTGCATACATTGGAATAAAGAACATTCCTTTATGAATTACATTGCCATCTTGCGGCGAATCTTTAAAACAAATATCCAACATCTGGATACATCTATAAGGCTTTGAAAGACAGTAATATCTCAATTGCGTAAGAAATGTAGCGTAGCATGTTATTGCTCCGAGGTCTTCATTTAATGGAAAAAATGGAGCGGTTTCCCAGAAAATAACTTTTTAGAAATTCGTATGCAATGTCAAAAGCTTTAATATTATCAGATACAAATTTGCGAGAAATTACTCGTTTATTTTGAAGAGCTGATGACCTTTTTTAAAGAGCTGATTTTTTAGAACTTACTTTGGTTAAAGCAAAAATCTACCTTCAATTGTGTGTTTTGAATGGCAACTTTTTTGCAATTTTCGAAAAAGTAGAGTTTGCTGAAAGTGTGACTAGCATACTATTTTTTACCGTCCCTTAACACAAACGAAGATAAAATTTAAAGAAAAAAATTTGAGCTATTTTTTGAGAAAAATTTTGTTTAACAAAATTAAAATTGCCTATATTTTGCCCAAAATTACACTAAAATTAATATTTTGGAAAGCATTATCTTAATTCAAGATCAATCTTTAAGAATAGTTTTCATTACGGAAAAAAATCTCTATCTTCAATATTGTTGTAGAAAGGCGCTCCACATAAAATTGCACTTAAGCAAATTTTCAAAAAATCAGGGATTTCAACAAAGATGAGACCTGCACCTTACTCTTAAGCGCCCTTTACGCGATTGGAGGACAAAGTTCAATCAAAGAAAATTTTCAAAAACTGTTGCCGCGACTTCATGTGAAGTGTGGAAAATGAAAAATTAAAATATCTATTTGATCGGAGAATATCAGTTTTGAAGAAAATCGGGTGAACGGTTACGGGCTAGCGTTGACCACAGACGGACGAACAGACAGGCGTTTTGCCGTCAACCTCTTTTACTGTATCAAGAGCCCACTGGATTCTTTCTACACCACATGTTAGAGGAAGTAATTTTCTATGTATAGCAACAGGATGTATCCACGTTTTAGTTACTAGGGTCCAACAATAGTTTGTCTGCCGAAAATTTGCAGTTTTCTGGCGCACGATTGAATAACTTTCTCTTCTTACGAAGTACGTGTGAAAAAGTAAAAATGGATTGATGTATTACATGCTGACTTCTGTAGATTACCTCCAAACACACTGAATGGAAGTACGTTGCCCATCATCTTGTCACAGAAGTCATGTATCACGCAATAACAGTAGTACATTCCAACATTGCAACTCGAGAGCACAAGTCTGTTCGCGCTATCGAAACTTTGACCTCGATACACTGCTATTTACAGTAGGGCACATGTACTACGACTTTATTTCTTCTAGAATTCACCACACAATTCATCGCTAAGTAGGCCAAAATTATCCATCGGTGAAAAAATGGAACGACCGTTTTTGTTGCTCGAATCAGCAGTCTGATTTACTCGCTCACGCAACTCGACCGAAGCGCCAAGTTGTGCGCGGAGGCGCAAGTCTGCCCGCGTCATCGGAGCGTCGTCGGCCGAGTCCCGCGGAGTCTCGCAACACTATTAGCTTAATTGAGACGAATGGCTTTCCGCTCGTCGCGAGCACTTCGCCAAGAAAGCGGACCCAGAAACTTGCCGCGCCGCGCCGCGTCCCGCCCCGCGCCGCCCCCGCTGTGCGCGAAGCGAGGCAGATCGGATTGTTCGCGAAAGATCCGGGGCGTCGACGCTCGCTGCGGCGAATTGCGACCCTGGTTACCGCTGGGCGGCTCGCGTTCCACTGCCTGCAGAGTAAGCTCTTTATGAGATTGATTTGGTTTGATTTTTTTGGGAGAGGAAGACGAAATCGAATGGAATTAATGAAGCGTTTAGTCATCATTTGTACCCGAAGATGGACGCAGTCGAATAGAATCACAGTCAAGCGCAGTGAGGCGAAGTGAGTTGCAGTGATTCGCGGCAAGTCGCAGCGGGTCGCGGATAGTTAGGGTAAGACTGCGTCTGCGACTCACTGCGACTGTGAGAGTCGCGCAGACACAGAGAGACGCAGAGAGTGGTTGCGTAGAGCCGCGTACAATCGGAAATAGTCTCAAAGAGAGTTGCAGAGAATCGCAAAGGGTGAAAGATATCGTCGTTGTGATTGATATAGGATTAGTTTCCAAAGATCCAGGACTGGGTAATCCGGGAATCCGGACTACAGGCCTTGCTGCATGGAATTGATATTTGCCAGTAGGCTGGGACGGCACTTTCCCACATTACTAATTGTAAGGTCTTTGGCAATTTGATTTGATTGTAGGGAGAATGGCGAATTAATTTGATTTTTATTGACGAGGAAGAAAAAATGGAATCGAATTAAAAACAATTTTCAAAACACATCCTACGTAATCTGAGAAAGTATAGAAGTTACACTTTTACTGTTATTCCTCTTAAAAATATAACTGCTTATGCATTGAGCCATTGAAACAAATAATTGAGTCAGGATTAATGAAAACAAGTAGTTACGATCCAAATGTTCGAGATTTTCGGATATGTATAACATATTTTAAAGTTTGATGGTCGCACTGTACATTGCTTTTATCTTTTCAAGTTACGTATGGATTTTGCATTGAGCACAAGCGATGTTATGAAGATATAATATTGTCTACCCCAGTGTTGATTTATAATTCCCTGGAAATGTCGTTCCTCTCTTCTTCGGCAAAGTTTCTCCTTTTACATGGCACTGGTAACACATCCTTTTAATCGAAACCAAGCTTACCAAATACTCGGATACATCCAATGCCAAGCTTTCTGACTGTTACCGTACATGGCCAAACTATAATTGTTACAAAATTTGATATCGAAATTTTAATGGAAATACATGTTTTAGAGATTCATGGTGCGGTAAATATTATTTTATTTGTTTTTTCGTTTTTGAGACTTTTGTCCGTCTGAATTAGATCAGAACAGTAGCATTTAAACAGTAAAGAGTTTTTCCCAAAAAAGAATATTGCTCGATAGATCTACTCTAACTCGAGAACCAGCGAATTAGAAACTGATCAATTATTTAGTTTTTTTTTTGGGGGGGGGGCTTATATAAATCTTTTTAATCATTTTACAAATAATGTCAAAAACGCTTCAATTTTTTCTTTGTTCTCCATTGAGCAAAGTGCGATTATGAATTTCAAAGGCTTTATTAAAACCTAAAGTTTTTGTAACGGATGTGTGTGGGCCTCTCACACGTTGAATACTCGTGCCGTGATGCCCGTTGAAAAGGAAACCTACGCGAACACGTTAATGAATTTTACCTATTTTTCAAAGGCAAATATTTTCCCATTTTTCATTGGCTGAAGTCCAATTAGTTCCTCCATCCTCGCTTTTGGGGGCTCACACGTCGTCTAGAAGATAAACTGGAGTATAAAGGTTGTATTCACGGAAAGCGACCTTTCCACCTCATACGGACAAATTTCTCATTTCAGTACCAATACAATTTTAACTTGACCACTAAGAAAACAATTTTATCCATACCACAAATACAGTAATTTGCTTACCACATGCAGATTTGGAGTGAACATACACCTCCTCTGTTTCTGCCTCCTACATGCACCCACACAATACGTTGATTATTTTTTTTCAAGTCCCAGCCTTTGTGTTTCGCCTATCCTTTGAAAAATATGATACCAACTACTCGAGTGTAAGTAAAATACGTCCCTTCTTTCTCGTGGAGGAACTTCTCGCCTTTCGCCCTACACTTCTGACGTAAGTCATGCGCACGCCCTCCGCGACCCTTCCTAACCGGCCGTTCCGTTGTATTTTCCAGAACCGGAGATGGCGGAGCGGGAGTTGAGCGCGGCCAACCTCTCCAACTCGGGCCCGCTGCGCGGCCCGCCGCGCCGCACCGCCGCCGCCGCCGCCGCCCTTCGCAGCCGCCTTCGCCCGCGCGTTCGCCCGCGCCCAGGGCGCTGGCGTTGGCGCCGTAGCCGGCCCAGCAGTCACCATCGCCGTCGCCGCCGCCCCACGGCGGCAGCGCGCTCTCTCTGACATAGACTCCGCGGGCCCCGCTCCGCACAGTGCAAATCATTCTTTCAGAAGTTTCTAAGAAAACCGTTAAAATGACTAAAAATATGACTGCACGTCTGAATGAGCCCCGTGCCGGCCCCGCTGCCGCCGGCCCGCTCCGCCCCGCCCCGCCCCCGCATGCGCCAGTGGAGGGGACGCGGCCGGTGGCGGGGGAGGAGTGAAGTGAGTGGTTAGGGAACGAGGGGGCGGGGTCGGAGGTCGGAGACGCCATGGGGCGGGGAGCCCCCTCGAGAGAAAAAGAGAGAGAGAGAGAGAGCTGCGAGGGGTGTCAGGGTACCCCTCGCTTCGCCGGAAGGCGACCGCTTGGCTCCTCGTCCGCTACCACCGGCGCCCTCTCACCCCGCTACACCGCCTCCGCTTCCGCCCCCGCCGCACTCGAAACAAAAGTTCAGGAGGGGGGGAGACCCGACTTGTCTTTTCTAATTCGGAAGTTTCCCGCCACCACCGCGGACTGGAGTGATAGCGTAGCGATAGCCCGAGCGAGGCGGCAGCTGCAGCAGCAGCGAATCCCCCAGAAGTGGCCGCAGCAACAGCAAGAGCAGAAGGAGAAGTCCCGGCTAAGTCCCCGAAGAAGCGCCTGCGGCTTCCCCAGCAGCAGCAGCAGCAGAAGTCGCCTCCGCGCGCGCGCGAGCGTCCACGAGCGAACGAGAGAGAGAGTGAGAGATAGAGAGACATTGCACGAGAGAATGAGCGACCGAGCGAAAGGGAGAGAGAGAAAGAGTGAGTGATAGTCCAGCGCATGCGCACCGCGGGGCGCCCGCTTGCCACGGACGCCCCATCTTACACGCAATAAAGTTTGTATACACGTGGCCACGTTGGTGTTGAGTGGACTCGGCGGGAGGTCGCCGCCGCCTACTTCACTTCCACCCTCCTTTCCCCGATCCGCTCCCGCCTCCTACCCCTCCCCTGCCGCCACCAACCTCGTTCTTTTGTTCAGGGGTGACAACGCACAGCGTTGTCACCTCCCCCTGCGCGTGCCTTTTTCTGGCTGTTTCCGGAGAAGGGACGCTGACAGCCGCACCCCAGCCAGCCCGAATTGCTCATCGATACGAAAATGATATTATATCGGGATTAACGAAGGAGAGGAATTGACGTTTATGGCAGGGGGACGGTTTTACACCCACTGTGTGGCGTTAATTATGAGGTGTTTGCCGATAACGGCGCTGCTGTGAGCTTTGAATTGTGCTGAAGAACGCTTTCACGCCTTCGATGCAATGTGTTTTGTTTAATCCAACTGAAAGAGAGAACGATACCCTGTAGTGTATTTGAAGATTGTCCTCATGATGGACACATATCAAATTATCATCACAACCTTTCATAATTTAAAAAGAAGTATTTAATTCATTGATTTTGAAATCACGCTCTATGCACTGTCAGAATAAATTTTACAAACTTCTGTGGCATGTAGAGGAATCAAAAATATTCACATTTTGTCAGTAAACATCCAATGAAAAAATGCATATAAAAGAGATATGCATTTAGATATGTAGCATTTGCTCTTATTTTTAGCAACACCGTGTGCACAGATATTTGGTAGGTTCATGAAACCTTGACAGCGTTAAGACTTGACCTACGAACATCTGTGCAGAAGGAGTTGCATGTTGTTAGTAATGTCTCAAGGTATGGTCATTGGCAGTAACCTATCATTTTTGACACCACTGCTCACACTAAATGTATCCAACATTTATTCTGAGACGCATTCATTTACAAGATATCCTTGCATATACATGTTTGAATTTTAAAAATCCGCCACATTGTGATTCTGGTAATTTTCAAGATAAAATATCACCAACACTATTGGGTCATAATGTTTGTCTCTTACACATTCGTACTAAATGCTTAGCAATGGCTGATATAAAGTAGAATATTCTGCATTCGTTTATCGTGTGTTCTGTTGTGGAGCCTTTTTATCGTGTTTAATATGTCATTTTCACATTCTCTATCGATCTTAATTTCATGCAAGAAACATGAGTCAACCAAGAACAGAATAAGTAACTCTTATCACATGTCTTACTGAACTTTTGTTTGCTACTGATGATCTGAATGATATGACGAGTTTCGTACAGATGAAATAGTCGATTTAGTTATAATGTATTTAGAACAATTCCTTTTCCTAGAAACTGTATTAAGAGTAATTAAAGTAGGGTTTCAAGGGAAACATATTTTTCACATTTCGAAGTCTGTACAGTATTTTTCTATAAAAATATCTTGTGCTTCACACAGATTTCTGAAATTTTTAAAATCTCAATCAGCCCACCAGATCAGTTATTCCACCCGAGCGTGGCCACCCAGCACGTACATCATGATAGGGCGACATTTACGACTGTATTGTCATGGCAACCCCCACCCAGACCATTCATTGCCAATCCCTTTCTTTCTTTCTTTCTTTCGTGAAAGCATATAAGGGTCACCTGCCATCGGCCTCACGTCGACATTAATCAGGGCGTTATTTGTAGTCCATTAGCCGTTCAAACGAGCTCCGGGAATTCGCAGGTCTCGGCCGAGGCGTTGTGGCTGCTCTCTGCAGTGAGCACGTCCTCGGCGCAGTTCGTTTCGGGTGTGCATTCGAGCTCAATGAAGAAGTTTTTAAGTAGTGAGTCCCAAGGCCGGACGCCTTCGTTATTCGTACTTGCTCGCTCGGAATGTGGAAGCTCGCCAAGTGGCATTAATCTTATTGCGCAATCTGTGAATATGACGGCTCTTGCTCTCCAGTGCAAGCGACGCGGAGTAAAAGTACTGAGAAGTTTTCATCAGAATTGCAGGTAGAAATGACAACTATGGTTTTCTTTTTAAATACACTACCCGAAAGATTCTGCGTTAATGGTACGTATATTACTCCATCCGCCCACATCAAAATTAAATGTGAGATAAAAATGAAATATATATCTTCTAATTACGTATAAGAATGTATTATTTCAATATTACCTCTAGTTAAAGTTTAATTTCTGTAATTATACATATTTAATTAACTACTTCTCTCTGTTGAAGAGTATTATGTATTTTCTGTGTATCTTGCAATATACCAAGATTTCATAAACGAATTTTTGATTGGACGAATTGCAATATGTATAATAGTGAAATCTAAATATTATTAATATTTTATACCTTCACTTCAGATTCATGTATCAAAGCTAAAAGGTTTTTGTTTGATCAGACAACGCTAAGCTGATAGGATGTTTCGTGATTTTTAAGACTGGAGCAAACTGCTGAACAGTATAACAATGTAAGGAGCTGTGGCTTTGGAAACAAAGCGGAAACTCGTACCGGTAGAGATTTTATTATGGGGAGAGAATAAAGATTTCTATTGGTGGTGTTTGTGGTATTTTTAGATTGTTTTTGTTGTTTTATGGGACAAACGGAAACCGCATGTTTGGACATCCGTAGCCATTAATCGTTTTTTCTACACGAAAATCTAAATTGACACGAGAGATGAATGATAGGAAATGACCCTGAACAAACAATGTCACGAAGCTAAACAAACTGTTACGCTGGTTTACGGTCCAAATTCAGTAAGAAAATATTTTAAATCACCGTTATCGTATATTTTTACAAATTCACAGACTGCCTTTTATATTTGCCTTTGTCATAATACATAAATAATATGCTGAAAATATTACAATCGTCATACATAATTCCGTGGCTCTCTATTCTATACCATTGTGTTTCGAACCGTATACCGAAGGAATTGGAACCAGAGCAAAATAGCTGATACCCTTACACAGCATTTGTAATAATTTCGCGCCGCTAAATTATGAATTTCCGAAACTCTTTTCAATTCAAAATGTTGGCGTGTTCGCTTCCGAGTTCCTTCGCGTGCTTTCCCATTCACTTCTGAGAATTCTACGCGCGTACTCATTTCTGATTCGATTCGGAGTCGGACCGAGCGAAGAAGCCGGTCCTCTCTGAAGGCGCGGTTTCATTTCGACTGCGCATCGCCGCAACAGACTCCTCCAGAACTTATTTATCGCTTCATTTCGGACCTCCGCATGCGCAGGAGTATGGCCCGCTTCAGAGCGTGGCGGCGAAACCCTGTGGTTCGGTTTGGAACAAAGCGGTCACAAATGCGTCAGAGTAAATGTTACAAACTTCTACGGCATGGAGGGTGGTCGAATATGGTCACTTTTTGCCAATGGGTGTATGCTTGGAGAACACTTATACAAGGACTGTCCCGAAAATAATGCGCCCTATTTTTTTCTGCCGCGACTATCTGTCGCACAGCGTTGCCGCTTGCACACGGAAGGATAGGGGGAATCTTACGAACACAACGCGACCAGCGCCAATCGACTCCCACGGTCCTGGAGCGTCACAGTGCTTGTTTCAGTGACCCCTTGTGTAAGTAAATTGAAATGGAAAAAGCTCTTGAGCAGCGATACGCGATAAAGTTTTGTTTCAAACTTGAGAAGACGCCGTCGGAGACTTTTTGAGTTGCTTTAGAAGGCTTTTGATGTGGACTGCATGTCATACATAGTCTAAAAGGAGGCATAAAGTGATCAAGGAGAGTCGGGAGGAGGTTGCCGAGGAATAGCAATCAGATCACCCCTCAACGCCGCGAAGTGGAAGTCTCTACCTGATCGTTCCCAAGTTTAGTGTGCAAACAACCCAAGCTGACGATTTTCAAAGGTGAAAAATCATTTGCACAGCTTTTCTTTGTATAGAAAGTAAAACAGGTTGTCCCATGTAGTATATTTATTGCATGTAAAAAGTTCCTCAAGCTTGAAAGAAGTCTCTGAGATAAATTTAAATCGACTGTTTCATCGGCCCAGTGATACTTTATTTCTCCACATGATGGGGAAAGGAACGTAGCGAAATTTGCGTGGTAAGACGGAAGAGCAGACCTGATGGCCTGAGCCTTCAATTCAATGAGGCGTCATTGAATTGAACTGAATTGAATTAAATTCTTCTCAATAATGAACGAAAACTATGGAAAAATATTTTAAAACGTAAAGCATTGCTAATTTTTC